TCATTCACTAACCACCTTCCAGTGCTGTGCGCTGAGCCCTGTCCCCAAGGACCTCTAGACCAGCGGTTCTCAACCTGTGGGTCGCGACCCCTTTGGCGGTCGAACGACCCTTTCACAGTAGTCACCTAAGACCATCCTGCATATCAGATATTTACATTACGATTCATAACAGTAGCAACATTACAGTGAAGTAGCATAATTTTATGGTTGGGTCACAACATGAGGAACTGTATTTAAAGAGCCAGAAGGTTGAGAAACACTGCTCTAGACAATGACACAGTGGAGTGGTCAGAGCTGGGGTGGGGAGCACAGGGCGGCTGAGGAGCACATAACTCAGCCTGGTGTGTGGGAGGGTTTCCAGAGGGAGCGATGGCTGAGCTGAGGCCTGAAGAACAAGTGGACTGGCCCTGGAACTGACCCAGAGGGGGCATCGAGGATCTGCCTGGGAGAGAACAAGGCGGCCCAGTCTCCTGCTAACTGGGCAAGTTGAGGCCTCTGCTGACCCTCTGGTGCCCGGGAGCATTGTGGGTACCCCCCCATGGAGGAGGGGCCTGTCTCTGTGGGGGAAGGACCACAGGCCCTGGCTGCAGTCAGGAGAGCTGGGCTTGGGGTCAGACAGAGGACCGCCGCCTCCCAGCCTTGACACCCTGGCGAATTCTTCAGCCTCTCAGAGCCTCAGCATTTCCATCTGTAAAGGGTGGAGTGACAGCAACAGCTAGCCCAGTGGCTGGTTGGATTTGATAAAATAATGCATGAAGGCCCTGAGCAGACGGCCCGGCTCATTTAATGTGGCCTCTCACTGTCATGGTTGCCGTCAGTATTGTGTCCTCTGCACGGTTCCTGAGGGAAGCTCAGTGCTTTGGGGGGTCGGCTTAGGAGGCTCCAGGCCTGATGCCTCAGACAATCCCCCAACCCCACATCTCTTTCTGGTCTTCCAGGTGGTGCTGTCGCCAAGGACCCACTGAGACCATCTCCCACTGATGCCCCTCGATGTCCCCTGTGTGGTCAAGCTGGGTCCCCTGGGTCCCCCGCAGAGGGTGACGGCCCAGACGCAGCCACCTCTGGTAGGGACAGATGCTCAGGCTCTTCCCTCAGCTCAGCCAGGGGGGGCTTGGGGCCCATGTAGGTTCACAGGGCGGCTGCCCCCCCCTTCCCCCCCCCAACTGGAGCACACTGGGCAGAGGGTTCGCCTCCCAAATCCGGGCACTCCCAGCACAGCCAGCCCAGTGTCCAGCTCTCACAGGGCAGGGCCTGGGCGGACCCTCTGTTCTCTGCTAGATTTTCCAGGTGGTCATACTGTCTCTCTGGTGTCCTTACCTGGCAGGGGCAGGAAAGTCCACAAGGAGGAACGCACCTTCCGCTTCCAGCCCCAAGCAGAGGAGCAAGCGGGTGGGGTCCCCGCCCGCGCCACCCCCGGGACTGTGGTATCTGGCTGCTGCGCCTTCGGGACCAGCCCCTCCTGCGTTTGCCTACGTCTCCTCGCTTCCCATGATGCCTTATCCGTCAGCCACTGTGTAAGAACCCTGTTCCCACTCTCCCGGCCTCTGTCTAATTGCTTAATAACTAGTATGGGGCCGTGTCAGGCAGCAGAGCACCTGGGCGTGTGTACCCCGTTGTCTTCTCCTGCGTATATGATGTGCCCGGCTGGTGGGAAGCAGAGGCGTAGGGCACCTTCGAGCCCCAGACCCCCATGAGGCTCCGGCTACAGTGTCACTCTCAACTGAGTCCAGAAAAGTCCTTCAGGAACCTTCTGCTCGGGCAACTCTAAGAAGCTGTGCTGCGTGCTCAGGCCTCGGCACGGGTGGAGACGCCTGCCTGTGCTCCCACTCACTGGGCAGGGAAGGTTTCACCTGGACTTTGGTGGCCCCGGAGAAACTCTGAGTGTCTGCTGTCACCTTGGGGTCTCTATTTCTGCGGCCGTTCCATGTCCTTCCAGGCTCAGACCTGTGGACAGAACTAACCAGCGTGCTGTGCCCAGGCGTGGATGGGCCAGGGGGGGAGGAGAAGGGCCCCGGGCTCAGGGCCCGACAGCCCTGACCGGCATAGCCACGTCATTGTTTTGGGCAGGTCACTGTTCCTCTGTGACATGGGCTGTGGTGAGGATGAAATGAACTAATAAATGTATGGACAGTCCGTACTGCATAGAGCAGTGGTTCTCAACCTTCTGGCCCTTTAAATACAGTTCCTCATGTTGTGACCCAACATAAAATTATATTCGTTGCTACTTCATAACTGTAATGTTGCTACTGTTATGAATCGTAATGTAAATATCTGATATGCAGGATGGTCTTAGGCGACCCCTGTGAAAGGGTCATTGGACTCCCAAAGGGGTCGTGACCCACAGGTTGAGAACTGCTGGCGTAGAGGGTGCCCCGGAACCATAGTGCTTCTAATGCTGCTGCAACTTGGGCTGATGGGGCCCTAAATGTTCTCCAGCTGCAAGACTGAGCATGCTCAGAGGCTGAGGCCTGTGCGCCCTCTAGAAAGCTGCATGCGCCTCTGGTGGTCCGCTGCCTTATAGCCCCTGCTTGCTAGCCAGGATGGTTGGTTGGGTTTTGTTTTTGTGGTGTCTGCACCCAGGGAAGTTTTGGTTAACTCTCAAGCCAAACTGGTCCTCAAATTCTCAGAAGGTAGAGATGTGTGGGCACGGAGTAATTAACCCAGATGGTCCCTGAAGGGGGAAATTGGATTCAAGAAGCTGGTTTATTGGTCACTGGGTTCAGGTGACATGTATCAGCATCTAGTGCACTGGTTCTCAACCTTGGCTGCACATTAGAATCACCTGGGAATCTTTTTAAAATCCTGATTTCTGGGCCTCCTCCTTCGGAAATTCTGTTTCTTTGTTACTAATGTTGTGGCCCCACTCCATAACAAAGAAACAGAATTTCCGGAGGATGAGGCCCAGAAATCAGGATTCCAGCAAAGCCCTTTGTACACTGCACAACAATGCAAGTTAGAAAGTGGAGGATCGGCAGTAAGACCAGAGTTTACAGGGTGCCAGCCAACGACTCAGGCCAAGGCCTCCTGAACGCATTTCTGTTTCATTTAAGTGAAATGGTTCTTTAGCCCCCCCATCTCACACACTTGACTCCACAGCACAGGGGCTGCCTCTGTTGTTCCCATTTTAGAGGTGAAGAAACTGAGACCTAGAGCGTAGGGGCCAGCGGACTAGCTGGGCTCAGAACAGGGTTGGTTACAAACCCGGCGCTCCTTGCCTGCACCCAGCCTTCTCTGAGGCTAACGGCCCACTTCCCTCTTCTCCTCAGGTTCCATGCGCCTCCAGGAGGACCTACCTCAGCCCCCTCTACCCCTTCAGCCCGACCAGCTGCCGAGTGGCCCCCCGCAGCCTCCTCTCGGGCAGCTGGAGGGCACCGGCGCTCCATCCAGCTGGACCTGGAGGACCTGGAGGAGCTCAACAAGGCCCTGAGCCGAGCCGTCCAGGCGGCTGAGAGTGTGCGCGCCACCACCAAGCACATGAGGCGCTCCCTGTCAGCCGACCTGCGCCAGGCCCACAGCCTGCGGGGCTCCTGCCTCTTCTGATGGCACTGGGGGTTCAGAGACAGATGGTGGACAGGTGGGCGTGCAGCCTGCTGCCATATTCTCTGAAGGCCCTGCGGACCCCTCATGAGGAGTTCTCCCTCCAGCACAGGCCCTGCTGCTCAGACTCGATGTTTGCAAAATGGGAGAGCTCTGCTCATCAAGAGAAGTTGCTTCACAGGCACCAGCCCCTGAAGGAGGTGCGGGGACCAAGGCCACCTTCTGCCCAGGTGCAGTCCCTGGGAGTGTCCAGCACGTGTCCACCTCCAGCTAATAATATGCATTTTATATACGGGGACACTTCTTAAACGGAGGAGTTTTCCCGGGCTTCCTACTCCTCAGGAAGCCACATAAGAAGGGGTGGGGCCGGGGGCTCTGGCACAAGCCTGGCCATCGGCCTGAGATCTGCCGCTTGGCCTTCGGCATCTCTGGAAAGCCGTGGCTGGAGGTGGGACCCTCTGGGACCATTGGAATATCTTGGGGTGCCAGCCCCCAGGATGACCTGCGCCCAGCTTCTCTTTGATTGGAGCAGCCTTTCCCATGGGATGGAGACACCCCAGGAAGCCATCCTCCATGGCCCCTCTCCGTACCTCATCTTGAGACCCCCGCTCTGTCCTCGGGATCCCTGTGGAATTGGGCCAGTGGCCAGCCTACCTGCCAGGCCGTGACCTATCCCCCTCACCATAGCAGCGCGTACCTCAGCTTTTCTGGAATGTGTGTGCATCAGTGATATTTGTATATTTGGGGCATTAGAAAAGTCTATTTTCGTTATGAGACAAATGAAGAAGAATGAATATTGATCATAAAAAAAAGAAAAGCCAGAAAACCCCAAAAACATTCCCAAAGTTTCTGGTGTTTGTGGTGTATATCAATTGACCTGTGGTTTCTAAAGTCAGTTTGGTGGGGTGGAAGGTTGACACAGCCATCGCCCCTTCCCCACCCGTGGGCCTGTTGGGGGCACATTCCCACTCTTCCTGCCTCCCTCTAGAGGCTTCTGTGTTTCCAACATTATTTCCAACATTCCCCCTGTCTCTGCCCTGGCCCTGGCGCTCACCTAGTCAGGCCCCGCCCAGCTCACCTCCCAGATGGACAGGATGATGTTTGCCATAAGGTCCTACAATCCTGGCACCGTGCCCTGTGCCTGAGTCCTCTCCACCCCTTACCCACCTGAACTCCCGCTTTGGGTCCTCTGCCTTATGTTCCTCAAACGTGTCCTCTCAGACCCTTGGTTTTTAGCAGGTACAGCAGGTGTTATCAAGCTGCTAATCTTTCTAGGCTGTTTGAGATACCCCAGACTCCCCCTCCTGCAGAAGGAACCTTCTCATGCTGGGCTCCCACACCACGTGCCATCGTCCATCCTGGTATGTGTGCTGGGGTTACAGCAGGGGCTTCTGCAGCCAGGGGCACAGGCTTCAACGTGAATGAATAGTGAATGAATGAGTGAGTGAGCAATAGACAACCTGCCTATTCCAAATGCAGAAACTTTATTGGTGCAACTGAGGGAAAGAACTGAGGCACACAGGGTGGGTGGGGGTCTCAGGATAGGCCCCCAAAGTCCCCGAGGTCCTAATCCAATGCTGTGCCTGTCTCAGACCTCTCCTTTTCCTTCTTCCTTTCCTCGTCATGCTGTTTTTCCAGCGGCAGGCACAGATTCTATAAGGCAGCGGAAGAAGAAAGCACAGTGATGGGGAAGGGCAGGGTCTCCTGGCGGGAAGGTGGGGTGCGCTCTGGACTGGGGCTCCAGTCCCCATGGGCTTCTGGGAAGCTCAGCTGTCCCCGCAGTGAGATGGGCACAGAAAAGCAGGCTCTCCTGCCTGGCTGTGCAGCCCTGGCTGGGAGATGGCCCTCTCTGGGCCTCTGGGGCTGCCCAAAGCAGGAGCGCCCTCAGGTGGGCAC